CAGAGCAAAGCTGGTTTTTTGTTGGTTTTATTTTTTTTTTTTATGTTCAGATTTCTGTAATTCCGTCTGTGTCCATTGCCTCTCCTCCTGTCACTGCACACCTCTGAGAGGAGCCTGGCTCCATCTTTTTTACTGCTTCCCATCAAGTATTTATACACACTGATAAGAATCCCCTGAGCCTTCTCCAGGAAAATTGGTCCCAGCTCTCAGCCACTCCTTGCATGTCACATGCTCCACTTGCTTAACTGCTTTCATCCTCTCATTAGACTCACTCCAAAATGCCCATCTCTCTCTCATATAGGGGAGTCCAGAATTGGATGTAAAACCTCAGATGCATCTCACCACACTTATCCCCTTCCTTGATCTGCTAGTAACAATCTTCCTTAAACAAGGATGTTGCTGGGCAACCCTTGCTGTTAGGGCACACTGCTCACTCATGTTCAACTTGGTGTACACCAGAATCTCCAGGTCTTTTTTGGCCAAGCTCCTTTCCATCTTGGTGGTCCCTGGCATGTACTGGTCCAGTGGTTGTTCCTTTCCAGGTACAGAACTTTGCACTTCCCTTTGTTAAACTGCATGAGGCTCCTGTCAGCCCATTTCTCCAGCCTACTGAGGTCACTCTGGATTGGCAGCACAACCCCCTCGTGTATCAGCCCCTCCTCCCAGTTTTATACCATCAGCAAAAGGGTGCACTCTCTTGCCATTTAACTCATGAACGAAGCAGTTAAATGGTGTTGGCCAAGGATCAGTCACTGGAGTACAGCACCAGTGGCTGGCCTCTGAATTTCATGTTGCTGATGTCAAGCCCTTCAGCTTGGCAGTTCAGCCAGTTTTCACTCCATCTCACTGTCCATTTATCTAGGCCATACCTCATCAATTGCCCTACAGGGATGTTATGGGAGACAGTTCAAAAGCCTTCACAAAATAAACAAGGTTAACTATGCCCAGCCTGTTGATACTTGGCAAAGCTTTAGAGCTTGCACTACCATGCTGTCCTCTTGGTGCTTTAATGTTGTGCTTAAGCTGAACTCTCTCCAGTTCCATTATGCTGAACACAAGGTACATTTTTTGTGTTACATCCTCTTTTTTCATATGTTTTGTATCCTCTTTACCAACCTATTTCTTGCTTCATTGTGGTCTGTCATCTCCCTTCCCTGGTGCTAGTGTAAGCTGTCCTCAGCAGGATGGCCAGATGGGTGGCAAAGCTAGTTTCACTTCTGAAAAAAAAAATTAGAACTGTGAATCAAGTACTGTTCTACAATCAAGTTCAATAGATTCTGCACAATTCATTATAAACCCTGCTGAAATTTGTTTCAGATGTTCTCCTAGGCAGCAGTGCAGATAAAAGTGTGTATCTCCTTGTTGTCCTTGAACTGTCCCTCCTCCCTTGGTCATCCACCATATACTTAGCTATTTTTCTAGGAGAGATCAAGCAGAGATGCTACTAGCAGGATTCAAAGTTTTCTAAAATTAAGTGTGTGGCAGGTGACTGGTAACACAGAACATAACTTCACTTACAGAAAAAAAAGATATCCCATTTCCGCATGTGTTAAGCTGCTATCACTGCTGGATAACTCCCAGAAAAAGTAATTCTTTAGCAGAAACATAAAATTTCACACCAGCCCTCTGTGCTCCTGAAATTAGAGCCTCATGTATACATGTTTAGCAGCACTATCTAAAACAGAGTTTCATGCTTGAAGTGGCTGTGGGCTTTAACACCAACACCCAATCTCTGCTTCTTGCAGGTACCCGAGCTATGGAAAAACTATGCTTGTGCTTCAAACATATTGAAACATGATTAAGCAGGCCTAAGCTAGAAATACAGGCTTGAGGGTGCTAATAAAACATAGCAGCATGTGCTTTGCTGCTGTGGCGTAGTAGAGGCGAAGGAAGCAAGGAGATGAGTTCCAACAGGTGTGCAAAGACGAGTTAGGCGGTTTTGTTTTATTTTTCACCCCAAGACAAGCCATGTCGATCTGATTCCGGCCTTTTCCCCGACGGCTGAAGGTGAAGTTCCCCGGCGCCCCAAGCCAGCGGCGTTCAGCATGCGGAGGGGCCCGCAGCCCGCTTCTCCCGGACCGGACCGGACCCGGAGGCGGAGCCCGACCGGGACGCGGGAGACAATGCCGGGGCCGGGGCCGGGGCCGCCCCGCGCCATTCCCGCCGCACGTCACCAGCGGGGCGGGGCGCGGCGCCCGATTTAAGGGGCTGCGAGGGGCGCGGCCGCTGCAGCTGCGAGTGCGGGAGCGAGCGGCGAAGGAGGCGGCAACAGCAGCAGCAGGGCTAGCTTCGGAGAGCGGCACCATGCGTGAGATCGTGCACATCCAGGCCGGGCAGTGCGGAAACCAGATCGGCGCCAAGGTACGGACGGGCGCGGAAGTGGCGCGCTCCCGCAGGGTGGCAAGCAGCCTGTCCCGAAATGAAAAGCCACCTGGGGTTTGCTGAGGCGTCGTGGCTCCTGCCCCTGTAAACCCCCGTCCCTGCCGCTCTGCGCTGCCGCGGGGCTGGGCGGGGCAGGGATATACCCGCGCTCCCGTCCGGCGTGCCCGGCCTTCCCGCAGGCAGCCACGGCCATCCCGCGCTGCCTCGCCCCTCTGCGGCCACGGCGCCAGCTCTCGAGGGAGAGAACGGGAGGTGTTTCAGTGCCACACACTGCCACCACTGAACATGTGCGGGTGTTGCCGTCTTGTAGTGGCTGCAGGGTCTTAAGCCAATAGTAGACAATGGGAGGACAACAAATTGATGTAGCCAGAGATGGCCACCCTTTGGATACAAGCTACAAAGGAATTAATTTGCACTTCAGTGCTCTGGCTGATTGTCAGCCTATTGCGAGTTCAGCTGCTGCGGCCCTTGTGCTCTGACTCACCTTCCCACCCGGCAGCTGTTCTGCCATGCAAGGGAGTGGTCAGGGCCGCTAGCGGAATGCTTGGGCTGCACTGGGGGTGGGTGATTGGCACTGGCCAGCTGTTTCCACTGGCACTGGAAACGACTAAAAGCCATTTTTCAAAAATTTCCTCTAGTTCTGGGAGGTCATCAGTGATGAACATGGCATTGATCCCACGGGCAGCTACCATGGGGACAGTGAGCTGCAGTTGGAGAGGATCAACGTCTACTACAATGAAGCTGCTGGTAAGTGCCTGTTTCCTCAGATGTCCCCAAATGAATGGGGCAGGCATGACAGTTCATTGTGGCTGGAAAAATCCCTGAACAAGACCTGTCATCTGCCAGTGACTCCTCTAAGACACCTTTGTTCTCAGAAAGGATATGATAACACGGTAGTCTTGATTGTGACAGTGCCTCTTCAGAGAAATGCAGGGAGGTGGATGGGAGCACAGCAGGGCTCCTGTGACACTGGCTGCTGACTGCAAGCCTGTAATGCTGGTGCTCGTTCCTCCCACAGGTAACAAGTATGTCCC